AAGGCCCTCCACGTGGCCGCTGCCTGGAGGTCCACCTTTAGTCCGGTTGGTAACACCAACCGGTACTAAAGGAAATTTTATGATTTTTTTATTTTCAAATTATGAATTATTTTAACCTCTAATCTCTAATCACCCCTCATCACTGCTCAATTTAACCTCTAATCTCTAATCACCCCTCATCATTTCAAATCATCTAACTTTCCAGACGGTCATCCATCCTCTCACTATTCCAGCCTGAGCACGCTTAACTTCCGGGTTCTATTCTCCCTCGTTTCCAATTCTGCACTTGTTGTTTTCCTAACAATAGTAAGATGTCAATCCTATTAACCCTCAGGAATTTAGCTTGAGTATGAAGTCACACATTTCACTTTTGAGTTTGAAACTATTGTTCTGAAAACAATAATTATTTAGTAACACTAATATTTCTTGAATAAGTAGTTTGACCACAGTTTGACCAGATTTGACCAAAATTCAAAAAACTGAAATAACTATTTAGTAACACTAATATTTCTTGAATAAGTAGTTATACCACAGTTTGACCAGATTTGACCCAAATTCAAAAAACTGAAATAATTATTTAGTAACACTAATATTCTTGAATAATTATTTAGTAACACTAATACTTATTGAATAAGTGGTTTGACCATAGTTTGACCAGATTTAACAAAAATTCAAAAAAAACTAAAATTTGAGCATAACTTTTTTTCCTTTTAGAATTTGAGCTCAAAATTTACAAACAGGCCATAGGCGGTCAAAATCGGATGCGAATTCTCATGCTGAACATTTTGATATATTATACATTTTTTTTCTGACATCGTACGCAAAAGTTATAGCCGTTTTACATTTTCCCTACACTTTTTGCATAACATATCCAAATTTAAGTTTTTAAATTTTCCTAAATATTAGATGTAGTAACATAACTACATCTCGAAGGATTTTAATTTTTGAAGTTTTTATCATTTTCTTTTGTTTTTTACAAAACTGAAAAGGCGATCCATGTGTGTGTGTGTGTGTATAGAGTTTGAAAATGGGACCTTTAGTACCGGTTTGTGCCACGAACCGATACTAATGCCTCAAACCCCATTAGTACCGGTTGGTGGCTCGAACCGGGACTAAAGGTCTAACCTTTAGTACCGGTTGGTGCCACGAACCGGTACTAATGGGCATCGCACCCTTTAGTCCCAGTTTATGGCACCAACCGGGACTAAAGGTCCCATTTAAACCGGGACTAATGCCTGTACGGTGTCCTAGCCGCTCGAACCGGGACTAATGCTCACATTAATCCCGGTCCGTAATGCAACCGGGATTAATGCTCTTTTCTACCGAATCAAAGCCCTGTTTTCTACTAGTAAGAGATGGGTGGTATTTAGAGGGATCTCGGCGACCCACACACAGGCACACACAGAGAGAGAGAGAGCGCGCGCAACACGTCATACATGTTTCTTTATTCTACCGCCTTCCGCGTGTTGTTGTCCAACTAGGTGAGATAAACATAGTGTTGTCCAGCACATACATATAATCCCTCGGTATCTCGATGCAAACTCTAAGCCTAGTAACAACAGTCCCGTGCCACCACCCCATCCCCTCTTTGCTTCGGTCTGATTGCAATGATGGCCACCATATCTCCCAACCTTTGCCAACCACCGTCGATGATCCCTTTACCGTGCACCCATGCCCCCCCAAGTAGTGCATCTCTATTATATCTCTCTATCATTCCCCACCTCTCTTTGAAACACATATACATGTTTCTAGCTAGTCGTAGTGAAAAAATTTATGTGTGCGCATATGTATATTCAAAGGGATTGGGTGGGCATCCACAAGATCATGGCGGAGTAGATAGCAAGGTATGTGATGAGTGTATTCTCTGCCTGAACCATTAGATAGAGGATCCGCTGAGAGAAAAGGCGGGCAGAGATCTTGTGCCAGATCCATATACATTCGGAACCGTCATTGCACTCATATTTTCCTAAGTTTAATTTTGATATTCCAAAGGTTTTTCTAGTGCCAGGTGCAAATGGTGTTCATGCATGTGTTGTGTGGCACGTGTTGACCAAGCCTAAACTTTAATGGCCCAGAGTCTCTAGAAATGCTCTAGTTAATTTGATTAGTCTATAAGCATGATACAGTACAATGTGTTACTTTGCTCTTACGTTTTCAAGTCCTTGATATATACAAGATGACGTGATGCTCTAATCATGTGTTTTCCCCATTCTTTTTCATTTTTTGAGAAGAGTGTGTTTTTCCCATTCATACATTTTAACAACCCGATAGACCAAATAGGCCCAATAGGCAAAATTAACAAAACATGTCATATTTATAGTTAGATAATAGCGAGTATCTTATAGCTCGATTTCAAATATATGAGCTATCAAAGAAGTGTATGTGCACCTGATACTCATGCTTGTTTTTTATGTGAATTTCCCAAACAGACATTACAGGTTATAAGATTAGCTATAAAACATAAGTCCTATTTTGTAGTTTAGAAATTTCATAGACATTAATATGTTCATATGTTGTTAGTTTTTAAGTCGCTGTTATAAGTGGATCGCTAAAGTTCATTATAATAGCTCATATTGTATGATTTGCTATTGTGTGTTGTCATGTGCTATATTCATTGGCGATTACTGCAACGGGTTGGCAGTGTTGTCCAAAGGTACCGTCATCTACTTCTAGTCCTAGCGCGACCATTTCGACATGTTTCTGTGTATGGTGTGTCATGGAAGTGGAACTACCCGGCCGCTGATTGAAGCTGAAGCCCAGGGCAGCTTCAGTGACAATCTCACATTTATGTGGCTTGTATTGGGTGCAAGACCGACGTGGTGAATGTTGATAAGTGATTTTTTGGTTATCTGCAACTGTAATAGTACCCCTGAAATGTTGATGTACCTTCTTAAATCAAATTATATGTTCATGCATGTGTTGTGTGGCATGTGTTGATCAAGCCTTAATGGCTTGTGGGCCTCTGAAAAATGCTCTAGTTAATTTCGATAAGATCAGTCTTATGTATGGTTTGGTACAATATATTATTTTGTTGTTATATTTTTTAACTCAGTTGATATATACAAGATGTTATGCTGCTCTAATCATGTGTTTTCCCATTCCTTTTCCCTTTTTGAGAAGAATTTGTTTTTCTCATTCATTCATTTTAGCAATCCCTACAGACCAAAGAGGCCTAATATATAAGCTAGATTAACTACCCCATGTCATATTTATATTTTGATAATAAGTGAGTATCTTATAGCTCCATTTAAAAGATATGAGTTATCAAAGAAGTCTATGTGCACTTAACACTCATGCTTCCATTCAGTAATGGGAAAATGGGATTTCCCGAGTGTTCAAACCATTTCGAAGGGCCAGATCACAAGATCTCGGTAACAACCATGTAAGACGAGCACAATTTTTGACAACTTATACGACTCAACAAAGACGTGCCATTGCTGAGAGACAGAAAAAGAGGACTAGATAACTAAAATAAACTCGGCTCATATGACAAATGCCGAGTTCTAGATGGTCAACACACAAGAAAGTTTGTACCAGCGATCATGGGCTTACTGCAAAAAAAAAAAAAAAAGACAGGCCGGTTTGGCCGAGTGCCCGCATGCATGATGGGGCTCGAGATACATTTCATCAAACGTTTCTTTTTTCTTTTCACCACGTGGACAACTTTTTCGAGTGCCGGTGAGAGGTACTCAGTAAAATGGTGCAGTCAAGATGTGTGTGATTCCATTGATTGGGACGTGAATACACCACCATGCATGTATGTGGTCACACGGCACCACACTGAACGCAGGAGAGCGTGTATGAAACAGAGGATGCACATCCATGTTCAAGCATAAAAAAAGAAAGAAATATAACCTTCCGTCTGACACGTCATCCAGCTAACCGAGACAAAGCGACACCGAGTAACCTTGGGTATCCTTCTTCTGCCATCCACATTGCCGTTTTTGAGCTAACCTAGACCGAGCACCACTATCTGCGTGCCTGTCCAACCAACACGTACATACACGCCGCCCCTCCACGCCTCAAGGAAAACCCTAGCTCCTAGAAATAGCAGAGCCGACACCCGGCCCCTCCCCGGCCCCATTTCTCTCTCCCACTGTACGACGGCCTTCATGTCGTCCAACCTTCGCCGCCGACCATCTTGAGCCCTCCGACGCGCACCCGCACCCCTCGACTGGAAGGTATTTAGATAGTTATGTGCGCTTGTCTGTGTAGGAGGGACTGGGCAGTCATCCACAAGGGCATGCCGGAGTAGATCGCCCAGGCACAATCTGGCAAACGACATCACCGACTGCCTTCGACTCTGCATGCCATACACGAAGGTGGGGAACCCACCGATGATCCCAAGTAGCACAACATCCTCGACCAGTGCTTCCACCCCCGCTGTTGAATCCTGTTGCCGACGAGGTCCATAGTCGGCACCACATGGGGCGAGTTTGGTTGCCTGCACCGAGCCTAACCAGACCCGCGCGATGCATCATCTTTTTAGAGGTGGGCTGTTTGATTGCACGCATATACCGTTGGGCCTGCATAGTACGGTTCTTAAAGCACCTCTGGGCCTGGCTCACTGGAAACGGTCGAATCAACAGTTTCTCACGAGGCAGGCCCGCTAGAGATGTGTTTACACTTAATCACTCTTCCCTTTCTCCTCTCTCTGGGTCAACCCACTCTTCCCTTTCTCCTCTCTCTGGGTCAACCCACTCTTCCCTTTCTCCTCCCTCTGGATCTCGTCGGCGTTGCAAGGACGCCTGGCTCGCCTTGTGCTGCGTGGGGCGCCGACGCTAGGGCGCGTCCCGCCAGCCCACGACGGCGACCCTGATGCCATGACCGGCGTCCTTGTGTGGCCAAGTGGATGCGACCTGATTAGGCGCGAGCAAGGAGGACGGATAGGCAGAGGAGACGCAGTATGAGGCTCATCTTCCTCCCGCCGCCGCCGTCGGCCTCGGCCGCGAGGGCCGGTAGCGGCCAGACTGCGGGGAGCCGCCGGGTACGTGCATGACATGGTGGCGCTCTTCGGCGGGCACACTCTGGGCGTGGCGCGCTGCCCGTTGTTCACGCCCCCCCTCAAGTTCAGGGCGGCCACGCTGGACGCCGGATTCGCGTCGTCTCTGGCGGCCACATGCAGCAAGGGCGGGGACTCGGCGATGGCGACGTTCGACCGGACGAGCACGGCGTTTGACGACGTCTACTTCAAGGAGTTTCAGCAGCGGAGGGGCTTGCTGAGCTCGGACCAGACGCTGTTCGAGTCGCCAGAGACGCAACGGCTTGTGAACATGTTCGTCATGAACCAGGGCTACTTCTTCTACGTGTTCCAGCAGGGGATGGGCAAGATGGGTGCGGGCAAGAGCTTGAGCTCCGTGCAAGGATAGACGGAGGTGGAGGACGGAACCGAGCCACCCGACGGACGGCGTGGAGGAGGATGCGTGTCCGGACAGCAAGTGGGTGCGGCGGAGGAGGCCGAGGAGGAGCGCCATGACCGTGTCCGCGATCTCCTCGGCGCGGTTGGCGTCGACGTGGACGAGGCGGAGGCCGAGCTCCGCGGCGCGGTCGGGGGATCCCAAGCAGAGCACAGCAGCTTCCACGGTCGGAAAGAGCTCCGCGCCGGCTAGCGCATCCCGCTCAACCGAGGGGGTCCTCTTTGGTAATAGCTTTAAACATAACATTTAGAACACATATGGGTCTATACTGTAGGATACTATTAGTAAACCCGGGCAAACGTCGGGCCGGGCCGGGTTTCGGGCCGGGCTTATAAAAGCACGACCTTCATTTCCCAAGCCCGAGCCCGGCCTGAAGCCCGAAATACTCCCTGTTTTTAAGCCCGAGCCCGGCCTGAAGTCAAGCCCGAAGCCCGAAAGCCCAGCCCGAACGCTGTTTTTTAGCGTACGCACGTGCAAGCCCGGCCCGAAGCCCAAAAGCCCGTCCCGAAATACATAAAAAATGAAGCCCGAGCCCGGCCTGAACTATCGTCCGGGCTGCAAAAGTAGGCCCGAGCCCGGCCCGAAGGTCAAGCCCGACCCGGCCCGGCCCGGGTTTTTTGGGCCGGGCTCGGGCCGGGTCGTCGGGCCGGGCTGCCCATGCCCGCGTTTAACTATTAGCATACTTAATCTTTGGCAGTAGAGAAATGACACCATAGTTTAGCCTGGACATAATCCTTACCATTGGTAACTGTAATTATCAAGCCTAATTTTTCACTGAATACCGAGTAAAGCAAGCAAGAAAGAGGGAAGGGGCAGCTGTTTTCGAGCTAGGCTCGATCCCTTTATCATCCACTTCTCGCTATTTGTAATTCTACTTGAATTAGTTCTTCCTAAGTTGAGGCAGTTGAGCGTCATCATCGGTTAAGGACATGATGAGTAGAGGATGCTCCGGCGCACTCGACGTGTTCGACGAAATGAGATGCCAAACCTAATGGGTGTTAAGATTTGTTGTTAACTCCTAATCATATGCATGTATGCAACCAAATGCAGGGTGAAAATTGCATCTCGATGACAAGACCCCTAATACAGACAACCAATGAACTAGTCATCTACGTTTTTTACCCTATTTTTTCTTACCCAGGCCCTGCTCAGTCTGACTTGTTTTTGCTCTTCTAGCCAGGACCGGTGGAGAAACTAACCAAACACGCCCATGGTGAACCTGTCTACCCGGAGGCTCCCCCGGCCTCGTCCTCGTCCTCGTACACTAGAGCAGCCTCGACGCCTGGCTTCTGAACCCGCTCACTGCGGCAGCACTTCAATCGTTCAGCCTCCCTTTCGTCTCTCCTATGGTGAGCTGCCCATGCCTTGGACACCACGACAAGGACTTTCCGTGTCTGTGTAAGCTGACATGAGCTACGCCAAAGACTCAAAGGTGGCCCTTTATTTTGGGTGGCACAAGAAGCCCCTTGCTTCCAAGCTCGGCGTCAACCATTGGAGTATTGTCAGCGAATCCCCGTTGCTCTTCTCGGCTTTTACATTATGTGGCAAGGTCTACTTCACCGACCAACAGAGGGAAGGGCTCATGGTCATGGACACCGAGGCTACACAACCGAAGTTAGTGCTAGCCGTGAGATGGCCGCCGGTGGTGTTCAAGTTCGTGCACATGGCCGACTGCTCCGGCATGCTTTTGGTTCTGACCAACGACGTTTACTAGTTCCTCCGTTTCTAAATATTTGTCTTTATAGAGATTTTAACAAGTGACTACATACGATGCAAAATGAGTGAATCTACACTTTAAAATATGTCTACATACATCCGTATGTGATAGTTCATTTGAAATGTCTAGAAAGACAAATATTTAGGAATGGAGGGAGTAGTACATGAAAGGAATTTATGGTTACATGGTGGAGTTCGACACGTTCCGGCTAGGCGCGAACGCAGGCCCGCTTATGCTGGCGAGGGAAATCGACGGGCGTGCTATGTTTTTGTTGATGGTTACGTTGGCGGGTTGGTCGTCACGTCCAAAGGTACCGTAAAACTCACTGCCATCTACTCCTTCCATTCAGGAAAAGAATAGAAAAATTAAAAGGAGAATTAGAAGAGTTAAGAAGGGGCCCTATGACAGATGAAGCTTTGGAGAGACAAAGACAAATCTTGGTGATCTTAGAGGATTTGCTTGAGCAAGAAGAAATATTCTGGTTGCAAAGGGGGCGGGCGAATTGGCTGAGACATGGTGACAGGAACACCAATTTTTTTCATCATTTTGCTACAGCAAGGAAGAAAAAGAAACCTAATTAAAATGTTGCTTGATGATAATGGTAACATAGTTGAAGGTGATTCTTTAGCCATTCTGATTAATGATTATTTTTCGGGCTTGTTTACGTCCGAGGTTAATGCAGCAAATGAGGAGGTTCTAGATAAAGTGAAACCTCGAGTGACTCCGGCCATGAACAATCACCTTCTCGCACCATTTACATCTGAGGAGGTGAGAAAAGCTCTTTTTGATATAGGTGATTTTGAGGCACCGGGTCCCGATGGATTGCATGCAGCTTTTTATAAGCGTTTCTGGGTAATGTTGGAAGAGGACTTGGTGAAGGAGGTATTGGAGGCGGTTAATACTGCAGTTATACCAGAAGGATGGAACGACACGGTAATAGTGTTAATTCCAAAGGTGGATAAACCAGAGAAATTATCTCAGTTTCGGCCAATATCCTTGTGCAATGTGGTCTACAAAGTTATAAGTAAAATGTTGGCTAAAAGGCTGAAAGGTATATTACCCGAGGTGATTGGAGAGGCTCAGAGTGCTTTTGCCCCGGGTAGACTCATAACTGATAATGTTTTGGTTGCTTATGAGAGTGTTCATAGAATTAAAAGGAAGAAGGGTAATCATGGTCTTTGTGCGGTAAAATTGGATATGCACAAAGCATATGACCATGTGGAATGGTGCTTTCTTGAAGGAATTATGTTGAGAATGGGATTTGATGTGAGATGGGTAGAACTAATGATGGCATGTGTTAAATCTGTTACATATTCAGTGAGATTTAATTCGCAGATAACAGAAAGATTTATCCCATCATGGGGGCTCCGACAGGGTGACCCACTTAGCCCATATTTATTTTTGTTGGTGGCAGAGGGTTTATCAGCCTTATTGTCAGATGCCGAAGAAAGAGGAGCAACCGAAGGGGTGAAGGTCTGTCGTGATGCTCCCTCGGTATCACACCTTCTATTTGCCGACGATTCTTTGATTTTAATGAAAGCAGATGTGGCTAATGCAAATACATTAAAGGGTATTCTGCAATCATATTGCAATGCATCCGGTCAAATGGTAAGTGAAGCTAAATGCAACATATATTTCAGTCCAAATACTTCTGTTGATAAAAGGGTTGAGGTGTGCACAACTCTTAATATTTTAGTGGAGGCATTGTCAAAAAAATATTTGGGTCTACCCTTGTTAGTTGGGGCAGACAGGAGTGACAAATTTCAATATTTGGTGGATAGAGTTTGTCAACTAGTTCCATTGGAGGTAAAGAGGTTCTGCTTAAAGCTGTAGCCCAAGCTCTTCCGGCATATGCAATGTCTGTATTCAGGATTCGAAAAAATATATGGAAAGGAATCACGGATGCAATAGTGCAGTGTTGGTGGGGCGATGACATCAGTAATAAGAAGATGCACTGGTTTGCCTGGTGGAAGCTTTGTGTTCCAAAAGAGATAGGAGGAATGGGGTTCAGAGTTCCTCACCGTTTTAATTTAGCTATGTTAGCTAAACAAATATGGAGATTAATTGAGGCTCCAGACAGCTTATGCGCAAGAGTTTTGAGAAGTAAGTACTATCCTGATGGCAAGATACTTAATGCTAAACTTAAATCGGGTTCATCTTTTACTTGGCAGAGTATATTGTCAGGGCTCAATACATTTAATAAGGGAGCGATCTGGCGTGTCAGAGATGGTCAGCAAATTGATATTTGGGAGGATGCATGGCTACCTTATAGTAATAACGGAAGGATTTTGATGCCCAAAGGTCACTGTTTGCTAAAACATGTCCATGAACTGATTGATCCTAGTTCAGGAGTATGGGATGCCGACTTAATTCGATCCATTTTTTGGGATATTGACGCAAGACAAATCCTAGCAATTCCGTTGAGTCAGAATGGAATGGGTGATTTTGTGGCATGGAAATTCGGTAAGAATAGTTTATTTTCAGTTCGTTCTGCATACCACATGGAGTGGGAATCTACTTTTGGTGTCTCCTTGCAAAGATCTGATGGAACGGGATCTTCAGGTTTGAACACGATTTGGAGAGACCTTTGGAAGTGCGCTGTTCCAGCAAAAGTGAAATTTTTTAATTGGAAATGTTTGCATGGGATTCTTCCCTGTTATGATGTTCTGGTTAACCGCCACATAATGAATAACAGTATGTGTCCGGTCTGTAAGAGATATTGTGAAGACATAAAACATGTTATTTTTCAGTGTGAGGAAGCAAAAGGTATTTGGCAGAAAATTGGCCTGATAGAGGTGGTTACTGAAGCATGTCAGATAGATCGGTCAGGTAGTGCAGTGCTTGATTATCTGATGGCTGGAAAGTTGAGGGCCCAGTTGATGCATCAGTAAAGTTTTTGAGAGAAACAATTATAACGGCCGCTTGGTATATTTGGTGGAGACGAAGACAGACAGTCCATGCAGAAACTGTGCAATCTTTATCACAAGCGGCGATGTCAATTCAAGTCTTGGTATCTAGTTTCTCGAAAGCACAAGGGAAAGAGATTCAGCCAAGATCAAGTACTTGGCATCGGGCGTCTGAGGGCTTTGTCTCTGTAAATGTTGATGCGAAGTACGATATTAATATGAGGTCAGGAGCTACAGGTGTGGTAATCAGAGATGATAAAGGAAGATTTGTAGGCGCGGGATCCAAGCTCATTCCTTTTGCGCTTGACGCGGCAACAGCTGAAGCTCAA